TTACAGGTAGCAAATGTGAAATGTGGAGATTAAATACAGGAATGCAATTAATGTCTTAACGTTCATTTTTTTAATGTCCTTTTCCTAAGAGGGTAGAAAGCATTAATTATAGTTTGCCATTTTTTATGTGAAAGAATTTTATAAGTTATAATATAAACTATTTTGGTTATTACGAGTGTGCTTTGTATATTTTTTATCTGCAAGCCTGTTGATTTATAGCTATACCCTCCCACCCTTTGCCCTTTTGACTCTCTCTGGGCCATTCATTCCAAGCACAAACATGACTGATTCTGAAACACAGGTAGTACAGACATCCAATAGAGCATCACTTACAGAGAAGGCACATCCTGTTTTAATGAGGAGTCCATATTCTGTACATAAGCTGTATACGTGGCAGACTCAGTTTTATCTACAGATTGAAGATCCATAAGTACTATCAGAAGTATCAGCTACAACTAAAACCCTTGGGGACCAAGCCCTCTTCCTTAGTTACTGCACCACGGGTCTGCGATGAGAACACAGAAGGTAGACACGTTTAGGCTGTCTGTCTTGAGAAGGAAATCTTCCATGAAGATTTCAACTCCAGAAATTTCTTCTTCTAAAACCAGAACTTCTACCGGTGCCATCCCCCTCACTGTGGCATTGAGATACCTGCATCCACAGGACTTCCCTTTAGGAACCATATTAAGATCCATGGTTGCTGCTCACACCACTGCTTTTGTGCAGAGGTTTCTGATCGGATCTGTTACGTGTGAGCCCACCGTGTTCTATAACTAGTATCTGTCTACCCATCAGCCCACAGAAATCCAGGCTTTAGTATTAGGGTCCCATTCCATACTGCAAGAATCCTAAACTTGTGACTGAATGCCAAAAAAGACGGAAACATTCCTCCTTCCCGCCCACACCTACTCAGGGCTCTAATTAGGTAGGTCTAAACTCTGCAGGCGCATCATGTAACAGGTCATCTTAGACACTGTAGTTATGCAGCTGTTCAATGGCCACCCTGTTTTGAAGAGCTTCTTAGTGATGAATGGTGGGAAGAATGAAGTTTGAGAGTTCTAATCCAGGTTACTGATAATTCTATTTTAAACATTTGAACCCATTAATTATAGCCTTCCCTTTTGGTTTCTATGAGTCTTTAATGGAAAGCACGTGTATTCCTTCTCAGCACCTGCCCAGCTTGGTAAAGGATTATGTCCCAGCCGTAATTAACTTATTTCCTCCCCTCCAAACCACAGTAGGTCCATTTTTCTCTCCAGGTTTGCCAACAGCTTCAATCACAACCACCTAAATAGAGCAAATAGGAGGAAACATTCTTTCCCACTGATACCTACGTTATAGGATTGTGGTAAGAAATTTAAGTTTGAAGGGCAGTATTAATCAGAGGGGAAATCTACAGGAGGAGGGGAAGAGGCATCAAATTTCATTCGTAGAATAAAACGAGTTGTTAGTAAATTCAGCAATGAGACTAGACTGGAGAACCAGGCCAAAAAAAGGGGGGAGGGAGGGGGTAATTGTACTGGATATGCATCCTTGGAGCACAGAAGTGAAGAGGCAAGAACACAGCAGGAGTGACCCAGTGGGGCCGGTCTCTGTAAACCTGCCCTGCATTTAAATGCCTCCTGGTCACCTGCCAATGGTCCCCACCTCAAGGTATTGCTATTACAGTGAGAAAGTCCCGTCCTGATGCAAAGGGCGGATAATAGAATTGCAAATAGTCTGTGTAAGTCCTTGGAGAAAGGTCTGGAAGGGATTTGGGGGAAGGATGTGTGAAGTAGGCAGAAGTGAAGTTGTGAGAGAAAGAATGTTTATAAAAGTGTTAAACTGAGCCTATTGGAGAACCCTGAGTGGAAAGAAGCACCTTTTTTCTCCCACCAGCTCCAGGCAGGCAGTGTCAGTAATCAAAGATAGTTGCAAGCCCAGGTCTTGCTCATTATCATGGCCACGTGCAAAGAGCCCTAATGAGAGCAGGCAAGTGTTCACCCACCCAGCTTGAGGCCAGAGCCTTCACGGCAGCCTCATTCCTCACACGTGGCAGGGGCTTAGGAAATGCATCACCTTCTGTTGTCCTTTGACCACCACCTACATACAGCCCCGTCCTCCCTCCAGTCCCCGGAGATCACATCTATGCTCACACTCATGGCACAGCTACCACACCAGCAGGAGAACAGGATCATGCTGGATCTGCATCTCTACCTTTCTTCACTCCTGAGTGCCAGACCTATTAACCAATTCCTGCCAGAATTACCACTGTTCTCATAAAAAGTCAACGTGTTTGAATCCAGCTCCTTACTTTTCTCCCTGAATCCAGCTGCTCGCTTCCCTGGGTTTCAGCATTCTCCTGTCAATCAATTCCAAACTCTGAAGAGTTCTCCACTGTCTTCATCAGTCTGGGATGCTGTAGCAAACTACCATGGGTTGGGTGGCTTAGACAACCAGCATATTCCTCAAGTTTGGAGGCTGAGACATTCAAGATCAAGGTATCTGGGAGAGGATTCGCTTCCTGGTTGAAGATGGCTGTCTTCCCTCTATCTTCATGGGGCGGAAGCAGAGAGAAGCAAGCTCTCTTGGGCCCCTTATAAGGGCACTAATCCCATTCATGAGGGCTCTACCCTTATGACCTCATTTTATCCTAATCACCTCCCAAAGGCCCCACCTCCTAATACCGTCACACTGGGAGATAGGGTTTCAACGTGAATTTCGAAGGGACGCAAACATTCAGTCCACACAGTGACTAACTCTCCCCAACGTGGAGTCATCAAGCCTGTAGCTAATTTCTTCAAAATAATGCTTATCTCTATCTGCCTATTTCCATTCCTACATCCACTACCACTGAAGCCCTGTTACATTTCACTCCTCATGTTTCTGGTAGAGGTTTAGTTGATTCCTCTACTCCAATGTTCTCCTCACTCCGAATAGTCTTCTCAACAGCCCTGCCAGGTAGTTCTTCCCAAAACTCGGCTTGAGGTCACCACCTTCCCACTTCATCCGGTTGTTCCTTAGGTGTAAGTGTCAGAACCCTCTCCACACCCCATCCCAGACCTTTAATCCCGTACACAACCCCTCCCTATGTTAGTTTTCTATGACTACTGTAACAAATTTCCATAAATTTAATGGCTTAAACCAGCACGGGTTTATCACCTTATGGCTCTGGAGGTCAGAGATCCAACGCAGTTCTCATGGGGCTAAATTCAAGATACCAGCAGAGTGTATTCTTTCTGGAGTCTCTAGAAGAGAATGTTTCCTTGTTTTCTTCCTGTTCCCAGAGGCCACCCACCTTCCTTAGCTTCTGCCCCACAACTTCCTCCATCTTCCTGGCCAGCAACCTTTCTGAATGGCTACACCTCCCTCTGACTCTAAACTCAGCTGGGATGTGTTCTCTGCTTTTAAGGACCCCTGTGATTAGATTGGGCCCACCTGGACAATCCAGGCCACTTGCCCCATCGCCTCATCTCAGGATCCTCTTTTCCCATCCCACTCAGGCATTATGTAGCTGTGACACTCACCTTGGGTATCGTTTCCTCTCATGAGCAATTTAAGGTTCAAGACACTTATGAATAATTTTTGTTTTTCTTCCTTAGCCTCTCCACACTCAGTACGTCTGGTGAGACTGTATGAATCCTGTTATTTGTAACCCAGCACTAATCTTTAACAATGAATCATGTGTTTAAAAGGCTAATGGACAATTTAGAAGATAGAAATCCTCAGATTTTTTTGTCCTAAAATATCTGCCGCCCCTTTTGCCATGTACAGTAGCATTTCACAGAAGGCTATCCTGAGGGGGAGGAAGGGACATTATTCTGCCCACCACACTCCCCTCATTCACACCAACGTGCTGATCTT